ATGTTATACTAATGATAATGTACTATATTGTATGATGTTACTATTGCACTATGTCAATAATAAAGAATTTTATTACATTTTTTTATAATACATTATTGTATATTATGACATAATTTTTTGACTAAAATTTGTTCAAAATGTATATTAAAAAAATTTCTATATATCATTACCTGTTACTATGCTGTATTAATAATAAATTGATTCAAACAATTTTCTATTAGTTGCTTAATAGTACTATAGTACAATACATTTACAATTTATAGTCGTGGTATCTAAGCCAAATTTGTACTTATTAATGTAGGTATATACTTAATATTATAAACGTCAATATTTGTAGCAATGAAAAACATTTTAAATTGATATACAAAAGTCAAGTACTTATATAAATCTAATTAATCTAATAGCTAAAGTTTAACTTGAAAAATCTTCAGCAAGATCATCGATAGGTTACTAAATAATCATCCTAGAAGCATTTTCTAGGTTTCAAAGATATTATTTCTTCATTAAGTTTATGTGTGAATGGTTGAATGAAAAGAGTTGAATGGTTGGAAAAAACAGATGTCCTCCGTGACCTTTCGAGTTTTCGCCGCGTCCTTCGCCGAGACTTTCACCTTTTTCCTTCAAAGGAAACATGTGTTCCGACCGCCAGTTTTCGACAGGTCGCGAACACATGTTCCGGGTTGCCGTTCTGCTCGTAAATGCAAATTCACTAACAGCAGGGTCAACGTAGCGACACATGGGCCACCATCCTACGTCTATTACCACAATGTTCGCCGTCCATCCTTCCAAGAGACTACCATAAACGTTGGTGGACCTGAAGGCTGTATGTTGTGCAAGTCGACGAAGGCCGCTCGAAACAAAAGAGTTTTCCTAAAATGAAAAAAAGAACTATAATATCAAAGAATAACTTAATTAATAAACAATACAACGATACACTACTCAAACCTGCACCTGAACCTCATTTTCTTATACTAATAATTTTATATAAACATATCAATGAAATTTTTATTTTGTCAGTAGTATTTGTTGTATGAAAATTTTGTATTCTGTTGTAACGTGTCCTTCCAGAAATCCAGTAGATTTACGCTTGATCGATTCATAATTTTTTAGAGGTTAAGGGTCACCTGAGATTGGCATTAGCAGAAATTTTCGGGGCTTCCCCTCCATAAAGGACCAGATGGTTGACCATAGACGGACCAACACCGTTTTATGACGATGGTGGGGGACCTCGCGGGGATGCTTAAGCATACCAGGTGCTAATTGCTTTGCTGGTGGCCGAATTCAACCTGGAATACCGAAATACCTTAATCACTACAGCCAGTCTAAACAGGCCCGACCATAAATTCCCATTAAATCGGATTTTCAGCATGGTGCACTGGCTTCAAGGAATTATTGAACGCCTCTTATCTCTAATTAAGCGCTTTAAACGAATTATTAGCGACTTAAATCGCGAATGTACGCATTATAACTGTTTATTAGAAGGAAAAATTCTATTTTTTCCAGCAATTGTATGGGATGTGTTACGCAAATAATTGAAATAATAATCAATTCTTCAGAATAAAAATTTGATTTCCATATGAGAGGAACAAAACGTAATTCTTTGCATCATTCTATTCTTATCTGAAATCTGGGAATTAATTATTATTTAAAATTAGATGTAATATTTTTGAAGTAATAGCAAAGAAGAAATAGAAGAAAAGGAAGAGAGATATAAATTAATTAAAAAAAATTGTTTCTCGATGAAGGTGAAGGTTATTAAAGGTGAAGGAGGAAACCACAAAACGTAAACGTTGGAAAAAAAAATGCATCTGAAGACTCTTAACCTGCAGCAGTGCATAACAAGGTACACATTCGCATGTGCACCGATTAAACGCGATCCAGTACGCGCAATTAAGTCCGCGTTAATATCGTGAAACGGTGCGTGTGGCAGGAACGCATGCACGAGTACAACCCCTCGTGTGTCACGTAAATGTACTCCTCTAAGAGACCCCGAATAGAGATGCTTATTTTATTCCATCTTCTGCAAATTTTCAAAATATTTTTACTCGATCGCAAAAACATTCTTATTATTACCAATAGTATTAAAAAATTGAAGAAAAAGATCATAGAAATGATAAAAATACTTTGAAATATCCAGAAACCGTATGAAATATTTCCGTAATTTACAGATTCCCGCAGAGCAATGGCGATTTCTAATGGATAGCATTGCCAATGTATACATAAGTATGCATAGAACTGTCGAAAAATCAGGTCGATGTGCGTCGAACCCCGCAGAGATTTTGGTTTTAAGGAGAACCCAGGAGCCAAGAAGACGCCGCGAGTTATTCGACTTTGATCAGCAACGAGTATTATTTTGGTGTTTGGCCGCGTTATTTATCGGCCTCTTTATTGGCGATCTGATTTTCAGTTGGCCACGGGCCAGGATCCGGGATTTTCTGCTTGGTCGTTTCGCTTCCCAGAAGTGAACGGGAGAGACGATGAAGCCCGCTAATATCTTCACTTTCGATAAACGTGTTTCGACGTTGACGACAAACCCAGACGCCCGCTCTGAGACTTCCTCAAACGCTAGGAAGTGTCTCCACGGTTACAACCTTAGGATAGAACCAATTAATGATGACTGAGGAATATTTTAATAGCGCACTTTGAGATGATGCCTTTCTGAAATGAGATGAAGTTAATTTTTTCAGCAGAGATGTCGAAAGCTCATAGAAGATTGTAGAAGAAATTTATAAACCCTCTACAAACCAAGTATATATACAATGTCAATACTTGCCTTGTTGAAAATATTTCTTTATATATTATTTATTATTTATCTTTATCTTGTTTCCTATAATAAATTTACACAAGATGTTATGGAAATAATTGTCCTGTGCTGATATTTTTGCTCATAATTATATTTAAAAGGAAACTGCAAAAAGCTGAATGCATTTATCGCATAATTAGTGGGTCCAAATTAATAAATCTAATACAGAATAATTACGTAAAGTTAATAAAATATAGAAAAAGAAAGAAGACAAAATTATAATTAAAAATACCAATGTATCCAATGTTTATGTAAAAAGTAATGAAAAAATCAAAAGTAAAAGAAATAAATAATTAATAAGAAAAGAAACGAGGAAGAATTTCAGTAAAAAACTATGATAAGCGGATTCGCTGAAGAAGAAATTCAGAGATTCCCTTGGTTCAGTTCCACCCCCACAACTAAATGTTACGCAGGCGTGGCCACAGCGTCGAACGTGGAATGGTAAATCACGGGACCGAGTAGGAAAACCGTGGTACCCGTGAAAGCCCAAAACGCGGAATTTATAGACACCTTCAAAAGAGCTTTCGTCCGTCACAACAAACACGTCCCGGCAATCCAGCTTGGTGATCCATCACCCGGCTCGCCACGCTGGAGTTGCGGTCCTTCCACGCGTGATTTTGAATCGTTCCACTGCCTGATACATTAATTTCAATTCACGACAACACACCGATGCCAACCTATTCTGGATTAAGATATCTATGAGCCTTGATGTCGATTTACACTATTATTGCTTTGTTAGGCTTAGTTTCGAAAGAGTAGCCACAAACGATATTTTAAATCTGAAAAAGTACATATTACTATACATAATTGATAAGAATTAAATTTCAAATTAGTCAAATCATAATTTAGAAAATGGAATTGGATATTACTGTTACAATTATGTACCTATTGATGAGAGAATAGCATCGTTGATAATTCAAATGTAGGAGAATGTTGCAAATTTGGTAAATAATTCTCAAAATTAATTTTCAGTTATAAATGCAAAAAGTATAAAATTAAAAACAAAAATAAATGGGAATTCAAGTTAGCGAATAGATTATGAAAATAATTTCACTTGCTACAAAAAAAAGGTATAAAAAATTTCAATTTTGAAGAAAATATACCGGGGTTTACCAAATATGGTAATTGACAAAGGGAAATATAGGAGTTGGGCGTTTTCGCGCCATTTCTTACGAAGTAAATGCAATGTTTCGCAGATCGGACACTGTTCCTCGCTATCCCTCGCTTTATCCTCACTGGCTCCTCACGATATAAATATTCAACATGGGTCGTCCCTCAAGACTTCTATCCTCCTTCGTACCTCTCATTTCTCTCCTTCTTCTTACTATCATCATTCCATCTTTCTCCTACATCAGCCAACCCACTTCATCTATCTCATTCTAGTCTCTTCGCCCCTTCAGATCAAAATCACTGAAGCAACAGAGAAAGATCATCAATCATTCTGCATAAAACTTTACAAAATCTCCATCAGCGAGATCCAAAAACCAAATATTCGGATCAAACAAACCATAAGATATTTCACAAATACTTGGCTTATGCATTTTGCTTATCTCTCCTTTACTTAAAGAACATCTTCCCCCTGCCATTGCCCCAAAAAAAGAACAGCGGAGTAAGAAGTATAAGTCATTTCAAAATGTTGGAACTCTACTTTCACCCATCTCATACTTCCCGCGCACCCCCTGTCCACCTTTTTGACAGTGGCTACAACTTTGTAACTCCCGGATCATGTCTCCCTACCTCCCAAATCCCCTTTCTGTACGTCCCTTTCTTTCCAAGAGCCAAGTTTCGTGGGTGGGGACTAACTGACAGATGCGACGGATAAAAGAAACCGTCCCAGAGTGGCGGAGGGGTTAGGTTAGGCGGGCAGAGGGGCCAGGTAGGGGAACAGCACGCAGTGAAGGGTAGGGGTGCTGCTCCATAGCCGGAGGCGGGGTTCCTGGTTGACATGAAGAGGCAGTCCGAGGGCCGGTTCCTTCAGACGAGTCTAAACCTTCTAGCAGAAACGTCTACTCGCTGAGAAGCCTACTTAAAAGTCGTTCGAATCTGCATCGATGCCCAGATATCCAAGTCACAAACATTTTAAAGAGTCTTCGAAGTTACACTAGTTCATTAGACTAGTTTGTAGTGCCTGGAACAAATTTAGTGAGTGATGTCAGTGCCCAGGTATTAAATAGTTGAAGAAGTGAGTTTCGATAAAGAACATGCAGACTACTCAACCAGTGAGTCTTCAGACACAGAGAATCCAGGGACTTTACATTTTGGACAATAACGACAGTTCTGGCATTCCACATAGTACTGGAAGTTCAGCTAGTAACTCTCCGGATCACTATGAGAGATTTTCCCCTCCAACACACTTGATGGACCTCAGTAGTCCACCGGAGCATAGGGACCTACCTGGATATCAAGCTCTCCATCATCTGCATCATCATCACCATCATCATCAAGTGCTATATCAACAACCCACTTACTTGATGTACGAGAATCCTGATGAAGAGAAAAGGTACTCGGAGCATCCCAATGGGAAGATTCTTAGAGAGCTCCAAACTGATTATGATAGGCGTCTTCATGACAATTCTCCAGGATTTTTATCAGATCATAGTAGAGATCACGAGCAAAGTCTTTATCTGACACCATCTCCTCAAATGTACTCTTCTGGAGGTGAAGAGATGACACCTAGACAAGCACAACAGAGCTATCACCACGTGGAGTCAGTTGAGTACAAACCGGAAGTACTGGAGTATAAGCCGGAGGTGGAGCAGCAGAGGTACAAACAGGTGGAGATGAATCAAATTACAGAACCTTCCTCTTCGACTAAGAGCTACACGGTCGAAGGATCCAGGAATGGTGGAAAACGCAAAAGGAAGTCGAGCAGCATTGAGAATGACTCTGAAACAGAAAGTAACGCTTCATCTACGAAGACTAAAGTGAGAAGAAAGAGTGGAGCGACTTTTGAGGAGATTCAGAATCAGAGAGTGATGGCCAACGTGAGGGAAAGACAGAGAACTCAAAGTTTAAACGAAGCGTTTGCGGCACTCAGAAAGATTATACCCACGTTGCCCAGTGACAAGTTGAGCAAGATTCAGACACTGAAGTTGGCTACTAGGTACATCGACTTCCTATTCCAGGTGTTGCACTGCAACATGGAGAACACTGATGGTGCTGACGATGCTGGTGAGCCTTCACGATCTTTTAGATGAAATAAATATTGCCATTAGTAAACTGTAAGTTTTGGTAAACTCATCAAACAGAATTAAAGTTTTTATTAACGTCTATAATTAATAATTATAATATAATTATCTTTGGTTAATGTTTGCCACGTTGTTTTAATTTAGAACTCTTTGGTTGTAATATTAAAACTCGAATTGAAGTATGTCGGATATTGTTGAGTCTAAATTATAGAATCTTGAAACTTATTTAGTATTTTAATTTTGATAAAATAAATCTTCCAATTTTAATATTATAATCTTAATCAAAATAAAAAAGGATATTTAAGTAATAATCCTTGATAGTAAGTAACATAACTTCTCCGTCGGCACCTTCCTCCAGCCAAGTAGCACATGTTTATAGAAACAAGCTCGCGTTTGTTTAAAGTGGCCTCGTAATTAAACAGACCCCCATGAAGAAGTGCTCCTCTGATTCGAATGTCAAAAGCCATACTAAGTAGCTGTGTCATCTCTAGACCTACCCGTTCAGGTAAACATCTTTTTCTACTCCACTTTGTTTGTCGTCAGCCAAACAACCTTTACAAACTGATAGGAGAGCAAATAGGGGACGGATCGCTATGAAAGCTCTTGAGGAACTTGGAGAAATACAGATTTGTTTAAGCGAAGAAATTTATCTCTTACAGTTTAGATTAGTTGGTTTTCAAATCCAAGATTTACTTAGTTTAGTTGGATTTCTAGCATTATCTAAAATAAAGACAGCCATCGAGAAGTTTGCAATACTCTTCTTGAACCAACTTAGATTATTTTGATGTCTTAGTAATTTTTCGTTGAAAAGCTGCAAGTTTATAGCTAATAATCAGCTTTCATCGAATAATATTCCATCTCAATTTTAATTTAAGATTTCTGTAATTTGCTTAACCAAAAAATAAAATAAGGTGAAGTTCTTAAAAACTTCTGTTATTTCTTCCTAACTCAAAATTCAAATCCAAGATTTATGGCGGTTTCTTGGGACAGAAAACGCTTCTGTCGATACTGTAGTAAGTAGCAAGGAAAACGTGCCTTCACCAGTTCTCTTACATCTCAGTATCTCAGTATCTCAGTCAGGGTTGACAGGGTACAAGGCGACTTAAAGCAAGCCAAATGGCGACGATATACCATAATTCCAGGTGACTAAAGATATCGAGACATGCTAACTGTCTCGAAGACGACGATGATTGGTCCGTTTTCAGTGCACCACCGCGAATACCCGCTTCATATTTCTTCTTTTCATTTTGCCTTGCTGATATCTTGTGACGTTTCTCCCTACGCCTCGATGCGCATTTTTTTTACTCGTTCTCAACGGAACTCTGATCCTCTGGCTCCGATTCTTTTATTTTTTATCTCAATGTACCTACGTACTTGGCAATTTTAATATTTTCAAAGTTAATACTTAGAATTTTAATACTTATAGTTTCGATATTCTACAACTCAAATCCTTCGAAGTTTTATTGGTTTTCAATTCGAACAATTTGATTTTTGGCACCTTTAATTCGAGTATTTAAAATTTTACTACTTTCAATTCCACTGCATAGAATTTTGTTCTTTATAGTATGTATGATCCTAAGGAAATCCGAAGGGTATTAATCAAGTCCAATTTCCTGTCTTCTTCCAGGCGAAAGAAATCCAAGAAGCGCTGTCTTGGCCGCCAGAGAAATAACTTCGTCGTCGTGCAGCTACATGGCCCACGAGAAACTCTCGTACGCATTTAGCGTCTGGAGGATGGAAGACGACTGGAACTCGAATCTCTAGAAACTCGAAAAAATATTTCTTTAAAATTTAACAAGGTAAAAGTTACTTAAACTCGTTAGACAACGCTTGGGCACTGTGAATACTTTCACAAATCTCGGGACAAAAGACTTAGAACGCTCAGCGATTATTTGAGAACGTTTCTAGCGAGAAACGTTCATTAAGAAATTCAAGATAGTGGTGTGTACAGGAAAAATCAAGTATCAATTTCCTATTTTCGCTGGTACGAAAATATCGAAATTGTGAAGAGCCGAAGAAAAGCATTCTCTAATCAATGTAATGATAGACAAAGTTAAACATACGAGAAATCGGTCAACTCGTCCTTAAGCGAGTATCCATGTGGCACTGATTTTCGTTTCTTAAGATAGATTAAAGTTGTTTGGTAAAAATTGTGCGAAAGTCTTTTCTAAAGGAGTATCTTCAAGATTGAAACTAGAGCGCAATGTTCCTCGTGTTAATATCAAGAGATTTAGGTCAAATAACCTAAAATATGGTAGTGCAGGGATGTTGTCACTTGCTGACTACTGTGAATGACTGACTAACAGCAATTATTTCTCACGATGTGCTAGGGGGCGTCCTTTATTGGCCACACTTTGAAATACAATCACGACAGTTGATTTCGCGCTGCTATAGATCAACGTAACTTAGGTTCAGGCGATATAATGTAAGCCAATAATTTACGTCTTCTCGTCGCTCTATTAACAGTGGAACGGCTTTGGCCGGCTAGCCAATTCCTCCGAAATTTCTGTACCGTGTGAAAGCAGCAATCGTGTGGAGCACTTATTAACGAGTTACTCCTCTTCCGTCGGTATCAATCTCAGAAATAATGTAAAATGGCCTAAAATGATCTTGTTGGTTATGTTAAATGCTTATGCTTGTACTTAGTTAGGTGATTAGCGCCCGTGATATCTGCAACGACGAAATTCATTAATCTTAATGAATGTTAATTAGAGACGAAATTAATTTATTGGATACCGTTAGTACTTAAAAATATTGGCTATTTGATGTATTACTAAATGGACATCCATAATATCGTGTTTTATGAAAGAAGATACAGGAAAGAAGTTCAAGTGGCTTCTCTTCAAAATATTTACCTACAAATACTCAAAGAACTTCTGAGTACAATGAAGTTGTTCAATAGGCGATTATTGCTGAGATCCTTGAAATGATTTCCTCTTGCCACTTTCACTACCTCTCAAAATGTTGGTCAGTCTATTAGGGTGGATTTATGGCCATGCAAGCTTTTCAACTCCGCAGGAAAATGCGTAACCTGTTTTACACTTAGGAACTAGAAAAATAATAGCGTGTAAATAGAAAATTTGTATTTATAATACATATTTGTAAATTAATCTACTATTTCAAGATTAATAATTCTAATAATTCTTCTAATAATTCAAACAAATCAATTTTTCTACTACAAATTTGCGATAATTTCATCAACATTACCAGCAGTATCATTATTCGTATAATTTCATAACCATATTATAAATTCTATAGGGGGTTCCCAAAACTCGGCCGATTTTCTTTTCCTAGATTCATGACAGACAGCGTTATTGCTACAATTTTACGAGTTTTTTTACGAGTCTCGATGATCGTGGCAGGCTAACGTCTCGACATTGTGGAAACAAGCCCTAACTGCTCCGACGGTAGAGGAAACTTAAACAAAACAACCGGGAAAGAAACATTAACGAGCATTTTGGCGCCGATGGGTTGCTCAGAACCTTTTCTTCTTTTTCATAGTTGTCGTTTTTATCTTAAAGATGAGGCCAGCATTCGGTAATATCAATTTCACTAAATAGGTAGTTGGTTGAAATTGAAGTTTCTTCACGAACTTGTCGACTTTCCATGTGAACGTTTCGAACGCAACCAGTTATTTTAAACCAAGAAGGCAAGAAGGAAAAGTTGGGTCCGCGTTTGACTTGCTTAACGAAGACATGCTACGTTAAATCCGCCAGCGTCTTTATTGCCGCACTGAATCTTTGTGAAAAAAAGCCTGCCTCCAAACGAGGTGCCATCAGTGTTCCCCTTGAGAATATGTCAGAATGCTATTCACCTTTTTTCTTTCCTATTTTTCCTCGTTGAATGTTCACGCCACTTTTGAAAATATTTCACTAGGAAAATTGATATTTTTTTAAATTTTTTGTGTCTATAATTTGTACTATAAATCTTTCTATAGATAATTTACTTTTAATTGTAAATTGGAATAAGATAAATAATATTAATCTTCTCACATTAATTTCTACATTTAATATTGGTACATATAGTATCAATTTTACCATTATAAACAGTATTTGAATTGCGAAGACAAATATTGATCAACGTTGCACTTGTGACAATGCCAAAAATCATTGTTTTCTATAACGATATCATCCATCAGTTTAGAAATTAGTTGTCCTAAATTTTCTTCAAGTCTCAGTATATCAAACACAAATTTGTGGGAAGATTTATTATCTACTCCACTTCATTGTTGATCAGTGCCCTGGGTGCCTCGGTTATCAATATAATTGGTTGCTTCACACACTAAATGTGACAATGTACTCTTCCATCAATCTCATATGTAGACGCAACTTGAGTAATATTTTCATAGACATTAAATGTTATGGACATTGTGCTCATTTAATTAATGAGTATCTTGACAGCTTGCATGTATTGATATATTATTGTGTTGATTAGAATGATTAACAGATTAGTTATTCAACTTTTTATAATTCTATAATTTCTATAATTAATTAATTATGGAATTATAGTATATAGTTATAATTATCACATCGTATGTAATAGGACAATTACACAATGTGGTGTTTCATGTTCAATCATCTGATTATTTTAAACAGTACGTGTCCTGTAAATACAATTACAAAGCATTGATAATTGTCAAATTTTTATACTGTTATTTAATTTCCAAATGCGCCGGAAGATAGAACCAAAGATATCGTATATAGTTAATGTAAGTGATATTAGGTTCTTAATAGTTTCTAATATCATGGGAAAAACTAACAATTTTACAAATCGACGAAATCATTTTATTTGTAAAGCTATCTCGAATATCACTGTGTAAAAAAAATATTTTTCGAAACTTTTTGCTGTAATTTAGTTTAAGTATTTACATGCAATCGTTTAAAAATACCAAAACTCGAGATTGCTAATCTTTTCCATTTTTACATAAGGCCATTTATAAATTGATTTGTAAATTTTGCTCTGTATTACACTAAACTCTATTTAATTATAAGCTTTCAAGAGCATTTTGAGTGCCTTGGACGTACAGCTAAAGGAACCAAAAATTCTGTACATAGTAGAATAAGATTTTAATTTCTAAGTTGTACATTCTCAAACAAAGAAGCTGTAATATATTATTAAGAGGTAGTATATATTTTGCAAGTCCACCTTTAGATTCAGTATCTTAAGATACAAGTGGCCGGAAGTCGCAATAATTTATTTTTCGTCAAAAGGCGATTATTAAACAATATTGTACATATTCCTGTAAATATTAGACCTTTTTTTAAATATCTATATTGAAGCAAAAATTCCTTTGAAAATTTTTATAATTTCTATTTGTCTCTTCCTACTTGTATTTATATCGTTAGAATAGGAACTACAATTTAAATAAATAAATTCTTGAGTGGAGATTATCAGTTTAAGTCATGATTTTACATAAATCCTTCTTAAATTTAAGTTTTTTTTTTTATTCAAAATAATTGAAAATTGACTTACACTGAGCTTTTTATTTAAAGTAAACTCCACTGAGATTTTTTATATATAGTCCTCAACTTTTTCTTGAGGATTATTTGAACGGCAAGGTTTCCTATGATATGGTGAACTCTTGGATTTCCATTCCTTAAAACAGTGCCAAAGTGCAAATTTTTTTAATGTACTTCAGCGTGCACTTGCACACTTTCTAATGTACAGTATTTTTATATCGAATCCGAACATTGTAATAAAATTATTGAACACATTTCTGTTTCTTTATACCTTAACTTTCCCTCATTCTCTCTTCCACTCGTTTCATGTCTATATTAAAATTAAAGGAAATTAGTTTGTAGCTAACGAAACGGAAAGAATGTTATAAAATCTTTGAAAAAGTATTTTTGGAAATATTTGAAATATTTAGACTTGGCATCTCTTGTACTTGCTTACCATCGAATTCCAATCACACCGGAAGTTCCATTGCGGAAGCGGGCGACGCTTAAAGCGAGAGAATCGTCAGCGTAATGCTTAAGCTGACGTCACGAATACTCGTAACGAGTCCAGGCGCGAAACGTATGAATATTCCCAGATCGTAAATTCGAAGAAGTATCTTAGAAAGACGAAGGACGACAGAATGGGGGACGGAATAGGAACGGAACAGTGTCGGGGAAGAGCCGATAAATAATTTACCAAACGCAAGCTGGCGGCGGGCTTAATGGATTATACGAGCCAGTGCAAATATTATTGCAAGGAAACGGCAGCTAGCGACGCCCCGTTTGCCCGATTGGTCAAAAAACGATGTCAACCGTCTGTCTTTTAGCCAATCAACGAACACCGGATGTTGGCTTCGACCTTTTCGACATGTTATTCGCTCCACTATGCTTCGGCCATATTATAAGGACATAATGATTCTCCTTCCAGCAAAATTTTCGTTCCAATTCTTATTTCTATTTCATATTAATCCCTATATTTTTCAACTGAAACAAAATTTTTAATAAGTTGGAAATAATTAAATTACATAGGCTGATCAAATTTTGAAAAGAAATAAAACTCAACATAGTAACTTACTGTTTTCTTCGTTTAAAGGAAAGGACTTCTAGAAACGGATAATAATTTCATGAATTACAGGATCAAGGACGCTTCTTTCTGGAGGAGAAAAAAGAAACAGTTGCAGTTACTTTCCACTTTTTACACAAGACTGAAAGCAGTCTTGGTGAATTGGTACTGTACTCATGATAGTAAAGCTGCCGACCGGTAGCTGGGAGACTTGTCACATTCTCCCATGATGATCCCAGAAATCTGAGAAACCACCTAACCTAAACATAGCGACCCATCACGCTTCACCAGTTTATTTACGAACGCGAGAACCCGATGGAAACCCTGCCATCAGCCCTATGCATGACTGTACCATGTTTTTCCTTTTTTTTTTTTATTCCATCGTTTTTTCGTTTTTATTCCATGGGAAATGACTTTTTAATCCGATATTTTGTCAATGGCAAAAGTGTTACAAAAATATAGGATTCAACTCCATAACTTCTCCAATATCTATGTTTTTTATTGTCTTATCCATTTCTAAACAATTGTCCCAAGATCAACCTAAAGTAAGAGGAAGAAACTTTAGAAAATGATATGGTGGAGGACGAAGGAGGAGGCAGATAGAGGTCTTGCAGTGGCTAGGCACGGTGAAGAGACTAAACATCTGTTCTCTGTCTTTTCCTACTAAATCACCGCAATTTCTGTCACTCCTTTCGTTTTCCCCCAGGATGATGAATTGTCCGTCGTTAGTGCCAACCACGACCACCACCTCTTCTACCCTCTCTTCTCGTACACTATGTGTATATATATATGTATATATATGTATATGTATATATATAATATATATAAATGTATACATATATTTGGTATGTAACTGATCCAATAGCACAATGCTCCGTTTTACGTGGTCAGTAAACTGTTCTGCAATGAACTACGCCATTCTAAAGAGTCGTAAGTAAATACATCGGTGAAGCAAACCACCCTATTAGTCACATTCAGACGCAAGCACATGTTGATGGAAATAGAAATTGGTAAAATCTTCATTAATTTTCAAACTTAAATCACTTTATACCTTTTGTTAACCTGTGAAACGCCTTATTCTTTGATTTCTCCTTTCGTAATAAATGTATGTGTTTTCATTTGATTTTATGCCTTGCAAGGTCCATTTCACAAGATATTGGAGAAATGAAAATTTCTAGTGACCATTTTCACTTTAACTGAATGAATATTTCAGGAAATGAACACAGCTGAAAATCAGAGGCGGGGAAAGTTAATAAAAGGCGCATTCTTTGAGTGGGAACATAGACATAATTTGGTAGCCGATCTAGTTAGGCTTTCCTGTGGCCACCATGAGGAACACGGATACCAGTGGCAGCTAATTAAGTTGCGTAATGAGTTCGTCCCTGCCAGTTAATTATTTTCGAAATGGTTCTTTGACGACTGAGGAAATGGATACGAGAAACGATTCCCGGAAATGTTTCTAATCGATTCATGACCTTCTAAATCATGATGCTGCCTTGTACACCAGTTTACGACTGAATAGCACATTGAAGAGTTGTAATTATGTGTTTCCTGTTGACATAATACAGTTAATAAATATACGATGTCTTTTTCAATACAAAAATACTAACGTAGTATGAATAAAAATGAAAATGATTATTGTATGAGTATAAACTAAGCTTGACAAGATATTTTAAATGTGAATAAAGTTATACGAGGAAAAAGCGAATTGACTGATTTACTTACTAAAATCTAGTTATAAATTTATAAATCTAGTAAATTTAACAATTCGATCTGACCATATAGAATAAAATAGGAACATATCACAGACATGTGTATCTTATTTTCGCAGTATGTCAAGCGCAACTGAAGTGTCCTGGCGCCTGGTTCGATGATTTACTTTCAGGGGCGGTCTCAAGACGAAAAGAGGTCGAAATCGTGAACATCACAGGAAGAACCCAGGCACGACTTCCTTGTTATTTCGTGGTCAAATAAATTACTGTTTATTACTTTCCAGTGTGTTTTCATGGATTAAAATGAATCTTCGTAAAATTGATACACAGGAAGTTTCTGAAACAGCTGCAGGATGGTCCAAAGATAAGAGTAACAGTATGTCGCAGTTTTAAGTAACTGTCAAGATTTTATTGATTATAACAAATCTGATTGAGACAAAAAGGAAGTTTATTAGAAAATTGAAGTAATATTTATATTACAGCTAATTTGCTATTTCTGGCCAAAATTAAAAATTGGAACTAAACTGCCAGCATTTAATTGTGAATTTTTATTTTTTATCGAATTTAATATTTAATCGTGAACTTGAATTACCTTCTCCAAAAGTGAAATGTTTAAACTCAAACTTTCCAATCCATCATATAAGTTGTTTAAATTATAAATAATTTAAGCATTCTTTGTTTATTATCCTAGTCGATATTCACTCATTTCTGCCTAAAAGTCCGAATATGCGGCTTCAGAGACAGGAACAAGTAAACACAGAATCGGTAAGAAAGCTAAAGACGGCTTCACAGGATGCATCCTTCCTCCCGAGCGCACTCAAACAAGGGGGCATTGAAAGAAAATTATAACTGTTTATCGTCCCGGTAAACCACGACTGTTCCCGTTTCCTTTTTTCCTTTCCGATCGACAAATCGTTGAATGGTTCTTTAAACACTCCTCAAAGATACTATATACATGTGTCTTGATTGACTTTTGATCATAAATATAACAGGTAGATTGAAAGATAATTCAAGTAAAGTATAAGATTCTTCAAAGCATCGGTGGAAACTGTAACTAAACATACGAAAAATTGTTTTGTCGATTAAAAGAAATAAAATATTAGAAAGAGCTTAGAAAAAATAAAAAATAATTTTTTCTCCTTTTGTAATATCTGCACTTTCCTCCATGCTTCATATTGTAACTACGTAAGTTAAATGACTCAAGAGAACTGTCATTTTTTAAATATACTTTACATATAATAAATTGGATAATTACTTTTTTATTTATTATAAAATATAGCGTATATATGTAAGTAAATTCTGTTACGAAAAATTGAGACTGTTTTAAAAATCATTGCTGAATTTCTGCAATTACGACATCTACATTCTACGATCTAAATTATAATTAATAGTTATGATTTTTTGTTTGTTATTGGGTGATTATATTTTATGTATATTACAATCTATTTACATATTTAAGTAGTAAAATAAAAAGATTTATTCACGTATATACATGTACAGAAGTTATGTGAATAAATGAGTATATGTGTATAGATTTTATACAGAAGTAAATAATAATAAATAAAAGCAAACTTACTTCGAATACTTGTATTCCACAATTAAAATGGAACAAATTCCTTCCCTATTTGCAGTGAAATGAAACTGGCCTATCTAAAAGAAAGGACGATTATTTCTAACAAAAATAACACAATGATTAAGAAAAATCGTCATACATAACGGTTAGTTTTAAACGAATTGCTATTGAAGATGGCGTTAGTGTGCCAGTGTAAAGCGCGCGAAATATTTATTTTTACATTCTCTTTTGAAGGACAATTTTGCAGGTATAACTTCCGTTTCCATTTTTATTTTTAACAGATTATTTTACACGAATTACATTGATTAGTCGCAATTGGTGTTATTAAAATACTCAAGCTCTTAAAATTATATGTATGAGTTACCCTTCAATAATCGAAAGTTATTAAATTTTTTTTTTATAAATATATAGAATAACAAGGAAACAAAAAAGATAGACGTCATTCTTTTTACGTAGAAAAATCATTACATTGTTTAATTCTAAATAAAACTGATGCAGTTCTTTAATATAAATGTCATTTTGCGGATTATATTTCAGTTCTGTTTCCATTACTATTGTTCGTACATGTTTTTAATTCTTAATTACTCGCTACAATGCAATCATAACGTGTTAATCTGTAAGTGACAATTAAATCGAAACTTTTTTTTTACCGCTATAGAAGATGACAGGAAAAGAATGTTTCTGTCCAACAAAGAAGTAACAACTGATTCGAACCAAACTTTTGAGCATGCTATGAAGACATAACATGTACATTCAAAAAGCCGAAAAATTTCCCTATAAAATTACTTTTCGAACAGCCCAGTTAAACAACGAATACTGACACTGATTTGTTGAATTTCTTTCTTTAAGATAAGTTTTTTATCCATTGATATTATATATGTCTTACTAATCTACTAACATATTTACATGATCGACATATTTCGTCGACGACACAAGCTACTCTGTATTAAGCTTAGTTCGATTCAGTTAGAAATTTTGACTTTGTTTTTCATTGGCACAACACAGAGGCAACCTTCAGTTCAGCCAAGAAGTTTTTTACCATTGCAATATGATACAATGTTCATCATAAATCTTAAAAAAAAAAAAAAAAAATCGAAAATGAAAATACAAAAACTGTAGCAAAATTTTAATCCATTGAGATGCTCATAGTGTTGGGAGGCCCCTACGATTTTATTTTATAACTCTATCTTCGCTATTCTTACGCTTTCTCTCTTTTTTCCTCTTCTCATATTACATAAGTACATAATTCATCAAATAATCACTAAATATTACAAGTTCACTTAGTTGAACTATGCTTTGGAAATTTGCGTAACAGAACTTGATCGTGGGTCATTGATATTAATAAAAATTTCAAATTAAGACAAAATTAATAAAATTGAACCTTTTACAACTGGATAAAAAACTTAGTGACATTTTGTTACCAATGATAAACGCTTATAGGTAGAACTCTTTGAGAAATTATTACCCTTGCTTTGCGATTACCACGTTTAAAATTTGTAAATATAGTACAACTCGTATTTTACAAGTAACTTTGATATAAAAATCCATCAAACGCTCATGATATACCAGCATACTCGAAAATCAAGAGGTTAAATAGTACCACATAGATTCAACAAGTGTAGACAAACAACCCTGATTGAGCTTCTAATATGTTTCTTCAAGATCTGCACGCATCGTTATCACAACTTTCTTCCACTTTTCTTACTTCATCTATAGAACAAAGAACGAATGCTATGCATTCATCTTGTTCACTTATTCCATGGCGACACTCCATAATACATATTTCACTGTGTAAGCAAATGCTGCGAATCCTATGATAACAATAAGATTGTTAAGTGCACTGTACAATGGACTTTGATCCCTTTCCAATTGATCACGCAATAGCGACGAAACTTCCGATGCTGTGGGTTGATGCCTCGCCTGTTTTTCTAATTCTTTCCTACGCTCCAATTCCGTCTTTATTGTCTACAAAATGTGGATACAAAATTGTTCATTAATTGCAATTCAAATATTTTTTCTGCAATCTTTATAATACCTCGACAGTTTCTGGAAAAAGTTCACAAAACATTTTATCCTTCAAATTATACTCCAAGCTCTGTGCAGCAAATTGTTTCTTATCATAATCAGATGAGTTAATGCTACCCATGGTAGGACTATTTTCAATCTATCATAAAAATGATTATTATTATACATATTAAAATTTAATTTGTTTGTTACTAATTAATTACGTACCATAAAACTAAGTAATCCTGTAAGAATAGTAGACACACTCCATGTTGGATTCCATGTATCTGGATGAAAATCAGAAATAGACAAACATAATTTTGTATTGACTTTAAACCTTCCATTTGGAGTGGTCATATAAATGCTGGGAGGCTGGAATGGAAATTCTACTGGAAATATAAGTTTGCCATGATAAAATCCTCCTTCATAAGGAGTTTCCTCTGGACCCTTTACTACATAATGCCTATGAAAATATACAATATCTATAAGCACATATTAGTTTATATAACAAAATATCTTTTAATACACAAAAATGTATAAAATATAAATAATATTCTAACATACCATTCTAATATATTTGAAGGAACTGGCTCTGCAACAACATATGGTATAGGATCTTTTTTAAGACGCAAGTAATCTTGTGTCAGTCTCACTATTGCAGTATCTGTTACTTTGTTCATTTTATAAATATTAGAAATATTTTTTTATATTTTCCAATTCTTTACCAACTAATTTTTTATTGTATTTTAAAATATGCGTTTTTATCTAATTACTTTTTGTGAAACTTTTTTAAATAGACACTGGGATCAATGTGACACCTTTTGTTGAAGTTTTACACTGAAATACTTTACACAAATTGAGTTTCTCCAATGAAACACACAAGGTCACTTACAATGTCAATTTTCCAAGTTTCAAAACGTGTTCTACTATTAGATATTCAGTAAAAAGTGTTTTCGTTCAATGTAACCTAATAAAAAATGAATATGTAAGCGATTTAAAAGATAGGTTACGTTCCCCTCGAAACTTAATAACGTAAATGCAGAACTATACGCAGAATGACTTGTCGCAGAATTAAAAATCGCTAATAATGATCTTTGCCTTTTCACTTACAGAATATTCACGAATGACAGTGAATTTGACAGCAACCCTTTCATAACAGAAAACATATGACTATGAAATGTACTGAATTATTTAATTTCGCAACAGTGCTGCCAAGTTCTATTACAGCGTATTTAATGATTATTGGTTGATCAACTGATAGATCATTTCCCTTATGATTCAATTTTGAATTTCCTTCATTCAATAATCGATGAAGGTACTAATAATAATTTAATAATATTGAATAAAATCTAACATAAATAATGAGTATTTGAGACAAATAAATAAATAAATTACGTTTTGTATGAAAAAATTATAATTAATATAAACATAATTAATGTAAACATATAAAAGAATAAGGATCAAAATTAAAAAATTAAAATAGAAAACAATTATATAAAATTTATAATAATTTGGATTAGTACAAATTTATTTTGTTGAATTAACATAGTGTAGTTTTATCTTGAAAATTTTTAAACAATATCTAAGAAAATTATTTATTAATAACATAAATAATTTATAAATCCAATCGTTCACAAAAATTCATTAATTTTTTGCATATAACAATTAGAAAATAAACCTATTAATATTTGTTTATAAATATTTTGATAGAATAAATTTTTCTTGTAAAATATTTAAAGGCATGTTATATTTTTGAAAAAATAAGAAAGATAAATAAATTTTGTAACTTGTAAATTCACTGTTAATATAGTTAAAATTCCCTAGAATGTTAAAATTATAAAAAATATAATAACTAATTAAAAAATTAGATATTCACAAAAACATGCTTCTAAAAGTACAATTACGAAAATATTTATGACAAATAATCCTATTAGTTTTTCAACTAAATAATTTCTTATGAATACAACTAAATATAAATACAATTATTATTATATTTTTCATAATATTCTATAGGATAAATAGTACTGGAAAATCAAATATTAATAAAAACGCAAATTATGTAATGTCGTTCACAAAGAATGCTACTAGAAATTATTTGTTGATGAATGGAGCTTAAGATTCGTGTCAGTCTCCGCCTCCCACTGACTATCACCGGGAAACACGACGCCATTGTTGACACTTTTGATATAGAAAAAATTGTTCAAACAGCATTCATGAACTGTTTAAGAGGATTTAGTTAATTCAAAGATCCGTTTGAAAAATATTTTTAAATTGTTAAACTCATCTGAAGGATGAGTTCCCCAGTGTCCATAAGTAACACTGGTCCAACGGCTGGTGCTACAGGAATGGAAACAGTAGTGGCTGTAGCACTTGGTGTACTTGCCGCTGTCTTCCTTGGTGCACTTTTAGTATTGCTTGTTATTTGTAAAAGACAAAGATGTTACTATGTGAGTTATATATTCTGTACACTCTCTTACAGAACATGATGATGAAATCCATATAATTGCATTTCAGAATCAGAAAGATTCTCCAGATCTAAGCTCAGATTTATTAGAGGGAGAAAATTTTTCTGGTTTAGACTTAGATGCTTGGGAAAGTGAAGAGTGGTTAGCTGGTGCAGAGAGGTATAGAATGTTTATTAATATCTAGCAATGAGGATCTAAACTAGTTACTCAGTGGTCAAATTTTATGGACAATACAGGTGGGTTGATGATGCTACTGGTTTAGCTCCACTATGCATTGCTGTGTTAAGATCTTGTCATGCTTTGGCTTCAAGTCTCACTGCAATTGCAGGCACAGTGAACAGTAATACTGTTCCATTGGAAATAGTGGATGTAAGTGTATAATTTTCTGTTATAAGAGTGATAACCAATGTTATTAAATTTTTATCCATTAGGTTGCTAGACGTATTCCACCTCGTGTTGATGATGTAGTTAGAAGCTTATATCCACCATTAGATGCAAGGTTATTGGAAGCTAGAGTAGCAGCATTAGTATTGGCTGTTACACATTTGGCATTGGTGACTAAGCATGGAGTATCCAAAAGTCATGCCAGGAAATTAGCATTTATTGATCAAGCTTTAAATGATATGGATTCTCATTTATCAATTTTGAGGAATGCTGCATTGGCACAGGAGGTGGCTTCCTCTGTTCCAGCTTCAACACCAGTTTAATTTTAATTTTACCTCCTGTTTCTGACAGGAAGTTTCACCAGTATTTACAATTTCCTTGTTTCTTGTGGTTTTGGGTCTTTACACTAGGCTTCTTTAAGCTGTATGTAAGATTGAAGGTACACATAATGTATGCAATGTTACATATTATGTATTTCTTTTCTGTTTTTATTATGTCAAGGTCCAAAACCCAATAGTACAACTTTGAGCTTTCTACTGATAATATTTTGTGTATTACATTTTATGTAATTAACTACATTTCAAGTAGTTACAAAAATGCATACATTACTTTCATGACGTATTAAAAAATATTGTAAATAAATCTATATATATATATATATATATATAGGTATATATAGGTATATATAGGTATATATAGATTTAAACATTTTTTACGATCAAAGAACACCAGAGATATATTTTTTGTGATATGGATATGCGCGAGACTTTAGTCTTCCATAATGTTAATACTAGGTCAAAGTATTTATATATACGTGAGATAAAAAATTCTATCTCAAAAGATACCGTGGCGTTTTATCGATTATATTAAGTATTTATAACTGTTTGTACACATCCATATATTTTTTTATATCTACCGAAAATCAAATTAATTTATAGTTAAATACGACTTTATAATAAAGCTAAATCGCAAGAGAAGAATTCGAGTATATGTTGTATTTTTATAATACTTAAACATGTTTTATTTCTGTAGTACTCTGTAATAATCTATTTACACACACGCGAAGGTAATACGCGTGTATATATAACCAATTTATAATTTCTTGCAGTACATTAATAAAGTCGAATCTCTAAATTATTAATATGGGGAAACTTCACCATGAGTTGATTTCGTCAGTTGTTACAGAGTAATTCGCTGTTCATCGTTTAAATAAATTAACTAAAAAATCTTCGATCACTGATAAACGCTACACAGCAGCGCAAAGTTCAGTGATGGATACGAAGAAATGTCCGAAAAAACGAGGACAGTTGCAGCTTACTATAACGAAGGGAGAAAAAATATGCTTAAAAAAAAAATCGAGCAGTGTAGATTATACATCATTCGGATTATTTGCTTCTGTGCATTTCTTTTTGTCTCTTCTGATTATCACTCAGAACTTTAGTCTTCAAATGTTCTTTGTAATCCAAAATATTTCCACTCCATTTTGTCACTGTACCATTTTCACAAACCCAAATTTCTTCTGCCACCTAATAATGATAAAATAAAAGCCAAAAATAATAGTAAGCAATTAAAGAATTATATGTCGAGTGTTTTAGATTTCAATATATACCTGATTGATTAATCTGAAATCGTGAGATACAAGCACCATTCCACCATCAAAATCATTGATTGCATCAGCCAAAGCATCAATTGTTTCCATGTCCAAGTGATTGGTTGGTTCATCAAGCAATAATAAATGAGGCACTTGCCAAGCTAGCCATGCGAAAACTACTCTGCAACGTTGGCCATCAGATAATTGTCTTATTGGACATACCTATATAATAAAGTAAAAGAAAGAAATATTATTTTCTAAAACTCATATTTCATAAATATTTAAATTTCTGTAAATAATCGTACTTGTTGGCGGCCGGTTAATCCGTAACGACCAATAATTTTTCTCATTTCTTCCCTTTCTTTGACATCTGGAAAGGCCTTCATCATATAGTCTAAAGGCGACATGTCTAGATCTAATAATTCATGTAGATGCTGATGGTATCTCCCGATTCGAAGGTGACTGTTTTTACGTATCATACCAGAACTTGGAACTAGCTATAATTGTACATGAATGTGAAATCATTTAAGAGTATTATTTTTACTTTTATAAACAAATAATAAATAACTGAAACTTACATCTCCATACAATAATTTTAAGAGAGTACTTTTCCCAGCTCCATTTGGACCAACTAATGCAATTCTGGTATCTAAATCTATTCCAAACTCTAAGTTTTTATAAATCCAAGGCGAATCTTCGTTGTAACGGAAGCTAACGTTCTGAACCATTATAACAGGAGGTGGAATAGTTCCACAAGAGGGGAAATAGAAATTCAGTACTTTGTCATTGACTACTTTTTCTGTGAGGCCTTGTGCTACCATTTTTGCCAGTGTCTTTTCTTTTGATTGTGCTTGTCTTGCTAATTTTGCAGAGCCATGACCAAATCGTGCTATGTAATTCTTCATGTGTGCGATCTGATCCTGTTCCCAATTATATTGTTTCACTTGATTTTCTAGTAATTCCATTCTAACACAGAGAATTTGTGTTAATATTTTTCTTTATATTTATTGATTTTAAATTTTTTTACGATCAATTTCAACTTACCTTGTCTTGACAAAGGCTTCATAATTACCACTGTAGTATTTCAACTGTTTTTTATTGACATGAATGATATTTGTACAGATACCATTGAGGAAATCTTGTGAATGGGAAATGATGACCAAAATTCTTTTGTATGTTTTCAATTCTTCTTCCAACCATACACAAGCATCAAGATCTAAATGATTGGTAGGTTCATCGAGTAACAATAGATGAGGTTTCACATATAAAGCCCTGTAAAAGAATTACATTTATATGAGATGGTTATATACTTTTCGGATAATAACTGCTCACCTTGCAAGAGCAATTCGCATGCGCCAACCTCCAGAGAAATCTTTGGTAGGTGTCATTTGCATCTTTGCAGTAAAACCTAAACCATGTAAAATATGAGCAGCTCGTGCTTCTGCTGTATCAGCAGACATATCTTCTAACCTTTCATAGACATCCATTAACTGTTCCTATTTAGACAAACTTTTTTAAATATAAAGTACTACTAAAAAAGAGAAAAAATAAACATATGAAAAATAAACACATACTTGTGCATCTTCTTCTTCACACTCTACTAATTCTTCTGCCAGCTTCTCTAATCGTATACGATCTTCATCTACCTCCATTACACATTCTAAAGCTGTTTTATTGCTAGCGGGCATTTCTCTAGTCAAGTGAAAGATATCAATTTGATTAGGAATAGGAACTTCTCGATTTCCAAGTACAGCTAATAAAGTAGATTTGCCAGAGCCATTAAGTCCAAGCAAGCCATATCGTCTCCCACAGTTCAATTCCAACATAGTATCTTGTAGTAGTTCACAGCCATGAAAAGTAATAGAAAAATTAGATATTTTTATATCTCGACTTCGTGGGTGTGAAGCTAATGATCCTGTACAAGAGCGTGCTTCTGCATTTAATCTGGCATCCGCTTCTAGTTTTAAGCATAGTGCCTCTATAACAAACATAATTTAAATGAATAATTGATACAATTTTTAGAGAAAAGACCTTTGAAAACTTTATCTTTATCTTTAATTTTACCTTCAGCACTGATAGGTGTTCCGTTAGTTCCATTTTGAATGACTCCTACTCCAGGACTGGATTCTTTTCCATCCTCCACACCCTTGTTCTGATTAGTTTGGGGTGGTTTCTTTCCTGATTGTCGAGCCTTGGCCGCTTCCTTCTTTTTTTGCTGTTGCTTTTTTTTTGCGTCGGACGGCATAATTCGTCTAAAATTTGACCAAATACGTGAAGCGTCGTTTTAATGTAAACTTAAACGTGACGACATACGTTATGTAAGCCAGAGGTTAGAAAGATGATAACACACGTGTTAAAAACGATGAACGGAACGGTGCAATGTCAAATTCCAAAATTCAAAAACTTCCATTGCCGTAAACGGTTCGTTACACGACCAACGAATAGGAGTGACAAAGAAGGAAATGGAGAAGAGGAGGAGAAAGTAGGGCGACGGAAAAAGAAAGAAGAAGATAGACATAGAGGGCCTGGGATACGGAAACTGTAATTTTTATTACATTTCTCAAATTTTGAAATGTAAGATTAAAAATCTCCTCAAAATATAAATTAGATGGCTAATAATGATTGTGTAATAAAATTAAAAAGCAAACAATGGGGAAAAAGAAAGATGATGGGAAAAGGAACGGGGTACCTCTAACTGAGACAAAAGAAACTTCGATTATTTTGCGACACTGACCGATGTAAAAAATACATAAAACAACTATAAGTTATTCAATTTTCTGTTTTCCCTACGTTTTCTTAGGGTAATGATCTTAAAATAATTTCTAGAAATTACCTAGTTGTGCGCCAAAAATCGAACGATCCGTACAATACGAAAACACACGTGCATGGATAAAGGCAAAGCCGTCAAAGTGATGTTGTTCATCAGATCGTGCGGTAGATGGCGGGATTTGGTTGTAGAACATTTTGCGAGGGAAACGGTGCGCGAAAATTGAATGTGTCATTAGATTGTGAATACAACCATTTTGTGTAAGGAAAAATTGACGTGATTTTTAACAAAAGGTGAGGAAATATATTTTATTCAAAAAGTACAATTTTTTAAATGTGTAAAAAATATGAAAACATTTCGGAATTTAGGAAAAATTAGCAATTTATACGAAATCTTTTGATACTTACCACTGTTATCTTATTGTTAGTCAAATATCTGAAGTTACTGTTTCAATATTTGGAATATTTGTAGCTTCTTTTTGGATTGATTTTATAACTTTGGTGTAATATAATTAGCTACTATACTTCTTACCATTTATGGTTACTCATGAATCACATATCTATGTATATTATGTTAATATATGAAAGTATTTACGTCTCATGGAAATGTCGTAAAATATATTGAACATTTTTTAGGTTAGCCATGATTAAAAATCGTTTTGTTACATGTAAAATTTTCTGAGCCATAAGAAATTCGTTTCAATCGACGAATACGATATATAACATAATTGTTTTTGTTTCCTTTGTTTCAAATTAATATTATCACGGAGTAATTAAAAAATGTATTCAAGTAAACAGAATTTTTAAATGTAAAATTGAAGTTTAAAACATGTGTTAAATTGCTAACAGAAATTATAGGATATTGTCGATATAATACTGCTTGTCATTTGAATTAGACATCATTTCTTTATTGTGTTACTCATACCATATATAAAGAATTAAACTAAAATTTTTAAGTTAAATTGTTTAATATTATAAGAAAAATAAGAAATATATATCTATATAACAAATAGTAAGTTAACATTGGAATATGGCATTTTAATTAAACATCACTAAAATCGGTAACATTTTTTAATGTAATGAACTGCATTGTAAGAAATACAATCTAAGAGTTTAAAACAAGTTTCTTTGGATTCTTGGTTAATGAAAAACAGCAAAAAAGAAATATTTTTCATAATTAAAATATGAAAGAATTTTACACGAATATTGCAATATTTATAATTGTTATTATATTATAATTGTAATTATATTAATAATTGTTATTCAATTATTTTACAAAACAGGGAAGAAGATATATTACAACTGTGGAAAACATAACTGAAAAAAGGAATATTGTGACATAATTTCAATAAACAATACAATCATAATTTTTTCAATTCGCAATATCACTTAATACTTACAAACTCACAAAGTAGAGAAATCTTTAAAATCAATTATGTTTATCCATTCCAACCACTGATTCTCAAGGTAAGAGTCTCCATGTAGTAGCATCTTTAATTTACCACTTTATACTCATTATAAACATAAATTGTATGTAATAAAATATTCAAAAAATTCTTCACTTTACTAGTGTGCCATGAAAGATCATAGGATGTTGAATATTCAGGAACCCGTGACTCTGGCCAGAGAATCGACGTGGTTATGTAGTTCGAACGGCAAGAGCCGGTTAAAGAAGTATGTTCTGATGAATGAACGAATGGATAAATGTCAGTGGTGGTAGGGGCGGTAAAAGAAGAGACGGACTTGCGCCCCTGTGGGTCCGAAGTCTACTGGTGGGGGCGAAGAGGATGTAGGATGTGGGAGGGTGAAGGGTTGCTGGCTTAATTGCACCGCATCACAGAACGTAGTATTTCGTAGTACGTGTTGGTGGGGGTGTAATGCGTCCTCGGTCGCCCTCGTCCTCGTCGACGGCGTCGTCGTCGTCGTCGTCGTTATTCGTATGTAAGCTGCACGCTCGCCTGGATCGACGTATGCGTACCAGGACCGTACCTAGTCAGGTGCAGCGTCAAAAAAGGAATTACTACGAAAAATATTTAATTTTTAATTCCGTCAATTTTAGATTACTTTAATTATATCTTTCTGAATGGTAAATTTCTGGATAAATGAATATTAGTGAGATTTTGTTTATGAATAGAGTTCCCATTGCTTTAAGTAAAACAAAGAATAGAATATTTATAAATTTGGAAATTTTGTAGGATTCTAAGAAGGTAAAATTTCTGAAAACTTTAGAAGACTAACGATTGCCCTTAATGTGGCGAATGTGCAAGCAATTTACAGCGTGAAGTTTAGAATTACTTTTATGCTTAAGCATTTTAGACATTTCTGAAAGACTCTGTAATCTTCATGAATTTAAGAGGTCGCGATCTGTCGCAAAGCTAACTTTGTTCTTGAGCGGAACTCAACAACTTTGCATTTTGCATCTGGAAAAGTGAACAGTTCCAACTATTTTAATATATTTTTCTCCTTGATTTTGTTACCTTTTTAGCAAATCAAACAAAATTTTTCCAAAATTTAAAAATCTTCTAGAGTTCACTATCTTATGAAATTAATGTAACAGTTATTAGATACTAATAGGATCTCGAGTAGACAAATGGACAATAATACGAATCATTCGGTAGGATGTGCTTGATGAACGTAATAATCGATCCGGTTGAGACGTTTGACATACTTTTCCAGGCGGACAACGATTAATTTTCGACGATGCAAATCTGTTCCAGGGAGAAGTGATGTGGAGGCGTTTTCATGGAAATAGTACAGACGAAAGGGTGAAACTCTGTATCATAATAAATAATCGATATTGCCTTTGTTTCTAATGAAGCTGCAACTAGGATTAAACAGACATCTTTTGAGCACGTTGGAATTGGGTATTTTTTATTAACAAGTATTTTTTTCTTTACTATTTATATTAAAAGTTAATACAAAGTTATTTATAGTTTAAAACGAAGGATTGCGTGTTCGAATGAGCGGAGGAATATTGCTCAAGTATCAAACATGGAATTCTGTATTCTTTATGTTCTTTAATATTGTAAAATTAATGAAGACTGAACATGAAGACTCAAATTTAAATGGTTTTTACCATTTTAAACATATCGTGATTGAAAATAGATAGTTTATGCAATAGGTTGACAGTTTTGGTATTTGGAAAATTACAAACCTCTTCAAATAAGACAATTGATATTTTTATTAAGATTAATGTACTCAATATTTAATGCCTGTACGTATTTCAAATTTTCAAATATTTTAACGTATATTTAAACTGAATACTTAAAATGTAGAAAACATGCAAGTTTCCAAACGTTATATATACTAAATTCTCTATACTCTATACTCTATATTTTATATTTAAACGTCTTATTATATTGTAATCATGTAAACTATACACTTGTATATCTTTGTGTAAAAATTAGAATGAAAAGGGAAGTTGGCACAGCCCTGGTGGCTCGTGTGCGTGACGTGGAAAGCACACGCGAGCACACGCTCACGCCGCTCGCGTGTCAACTACCGTAACCCTCGAGTACATCGGAGGTTTCACGGTGGACGGGGTCGTGGCTGAAAGGAAGGGGCTGAAAAAAGGTGTGAATGCCGGATGGCATTCATTCAAATGCCGTCCAATCACAGCATCGTACTCCAGGTCGAGTAGCAGGGCCGAAATACATCGAGAGTTATTAAGTCCTTGCGATTCTCTGTTGCGTTAACAAGTTGGATTAACCCAAATTGAGAAGAAAAGATACTTATAGGATAGACTAGATAAGTTGTACTAATTGTTACTGTTTATACGATAAATTGCATAAAAGTAGATCTACCAAAAAGAAAGTTGAAACTGGCAATGTTAAACTGATAAAATTGAAGGAATTTAAATCAAGAATTGAGCTGAAATATAAAAGTCGAAGAGAAGTAATATGGAAGACGGTTTGAAGATATCAGTGAGTCATCGTTTAACTTGAAATGAATCATATTCAATCTTCAATTAAAAGAAATATTAAAAATAGGGTAAAAATGCTCTTGTGATCATTTTTAGGTTTTGCAGTTTAAGTTAGAAACCATTCTGAGATTTATGAGACTACCAGAGAGAATCCGACTCGAATCGACGAGCCAGCGTCTTTCTGCCGAGTGTTTTTGACACGAGGCGGTCTCTCCAATCGATCCAGGCCAGAATAGCCGAACCGGATGTGGAACGTTTAGGCTCGATGAGAATGACAACGAAGAGACAGCGACTTAACTTTGGATCACACCGGGGTCCTCTCATTATGAATCATACGAATGAATTTCTTCGGTAAGATAACTAGTTCTCTATGTTTTCCCTTGTCAGAATTATTTTCATCTGAGGGAAGAAGAAACGGTTCTACAATATTTAAGGATTAATTAAAGGTCAAACGAATCGTCAACGTTTATCGAATAAGGAACTAAGAATTATTAGCTTCTTATTTAAGTCTTTTTCTAATTTTGTTTATATGTTATGAATTATAGGTAAAGAAATAATTTACGATTGCTTACATATAACTTATTGCTAAGATACTATGATTTTTCACATATAAATTGCTGGAATTACAAAAGAGAAAAAATAATTTGTTTCTTTCCACTAAAAAATTTTTTTGTACTAAATGGAAAGACGAATGAAAAGGAAATTCTTCAGGTAAAATATTGTATTTAAAGTATAAATTTTTGGGTTTTAATTAAAAAATAATTTGTGTGTCCACAATTGCTGCAGTTA